GNGNGNGNGNGNGNGNGNGNGNGNGNGNGNGNGNGNGGGGGGGGGGAGGGGCGGTGCAGGGTGTTGCTTGCGGCGACGGTAGGATGCCTGTGTCGGATGGCGATCCGAAACGAACGAGTGCTGGTGGTATGGCGGCGGTGACAGGGACGACGACGACGACGACGACAACGACGAGGGTGAGGAGCAAAGCCGAGGGTCAGGTGGGCGCGGGTCGATGGCCGATGGCCGATGGTCGTTGGCTCGGATGGGCCGTTGGCTGGCGGCTGGCGGCTGGCGGCTGGCAGCTGCTGGCGGCTGATCCGTCTGTCTACCTTTGGCCCCTCGCTCGACCCTGCCGGCCCTGCCTGCCTTCGCTGGCCAGCCTTGAGCGTTGCTTTTGGCTCCTAGTCTCTGTCTGCATGGCTGCAGCTGGTTGCATCCATCTGCAGGCCGCCGCCCGCGACCCCGCAGACGGGCGACTCCCATGTGGAGGAGGACGAGGTCACCTGCCGGCATCATCGGGAGCGAGCATCGATGCCGTCAGAATCCCACCTCGCCCGATCCGATCTGCCACGTTCATGCTGCGCCAGTCCAACTCTGCCAGCTGCTAGCCAGCCAGCCTTGGGACTCAAGGCTTCCTGCCGCCACCCAACCCGCCCGGCCTTTTGACTGTCGCCACCACGGCAAGGCTCATCGGTCGCCGTGGCTCATGGACCTCTTCCGGCGGCCTGCCTGTAACGATCTGCCTCGAGAATCATGGCCGAAGAGCTCCCCACCGCCTGTCAGAGTGCGATCAGCCGAGTCCCCCTCCTCGACCGCGCCTCGTCTCGATAGCGGGCGCGGTCAATGCTGTCCTTTCTGTCCCCACACGGAGCCGTCGTCGCTGCGGGGGCGTCAGGCGTGGATCTGGCCGACATCACACCCTCGCATGGCCTGAGTGGCGACGGCAGCCTCGTAGAAGACTGAGCAGCGCGACCATGTATCGACAGTGGGGCGGCTACTCTCATCCCCTATACACCGAGAATCCTTCGTCGTTCCCTCCTGCCCGTCAGGCACCAACACGAACAACACAGCCAGCCTCGAAGGAGGTCCAAGGTCATTGCGGTCCGCAGTGGCTTCCATAGACGACAGACGACGGAGCGGTGCTCGCAATCTGACTGCGGTGGCCGAGAGCAGCGCCCGCCGTCGACTCGCGACCAAATTTCCAAAGGCCAGAGCAAAGCCGGAGCGGATGAGGCCCAGATCGACTGACAGGACAGGCCACCGCTCTCTCCGTCTTCCTCTTTGTCGCAAGCGCTACCAGCCCTTCCTGGCCATCCTCATTCATCGCCTCCTTTCCGTCTCCTTCTTCGCTCGGTCCTCGACGACGCTGCCGGACACCCAGTCCTCCCCCGCTTGACCCGTCAGCACAATTAGCCTCCCCTCTGATAACCCAACCCACTCCCCACCCCAACCTCTTTCCCGCCATCCTGCCGATCGCCAAGTCACGCCCGTAGCCGCCTAGCAAAGCAGCCGCGACCCCGCCATCGACATCTTTGCCCCCCTTCCGCCCCTCTCGCCGAGCTTCTACGACCCCATCCGACAAAGCTCGGCTTGTCCCCCAACTGTCGGGTCGCAGGGCACCACGGCTAGCCAATCAGTCCGTCGGTAGCCTCGACCTGGCTTTTGGTGCCTCCGCCTCGGCGTAGCCTCGCGGTGACCACTTGGCAAAGCACATTCGCGGCCGTATCGGCACGTACTGCCACCGACTGTTCTCAGATAGTTGCACGGCCTCTGCGCAGGACCGTGTGGCAATTGGGCGGCTGATCTCGGCCTGCCGGGCCCCACGTCGCGCCGGTCGTCATCGCCTCAATTTCCCCAATCGCCTCGCCCTCTCTTTCTCTTTCTCCTCACCACCGCCTCCAAAACTATCCCGCGTCGTCCGAGGTCGACAACTCGGTCCAGCCCCATCCTCCCTGTCCGACACAGCGACGATCCGTATCCAATCTCTTCCGACTCCGACATCGTCCCTCGCTCGCCACCGCCTGCCAGCTCCATAGCTAGACCCCGGTTCGTACACCCGGCGAGCCGTCCTCGTCTGCCGACGGAGGCCCTTCAGCTCCACCTCAGTTCGCTCCGACAGCATCTCGGGCTCTCTCTTCTGTGCGCAGGGCACAGCATATTGGTGAGTGTTACGTGCTTACGGGGCTGGCTTTCGTTTGCGCCTGTTACGTTTTCCGGTCAGCGGTCTCTCTGCTCTTTGGGTCCCGTTTTGGCTTCGATGCTGTTCGGCGAGACCGCTTGCTCTGTTTGCGTCGCCTCGCCTTGATAACCAAGGCGCCGACGACCACGAGGATGAAAGGGAGAGGCTGGAATACGTCCCCGCCGCCTGCCACACGGCCGATGATGCCGCCGGCTATGCTCGTCGGGCCCTTCGACATGCTCTTCCTGTTTCTCGCCGTCGCAGCGACATTAGTGAATGGTGCAGGCCGAGTCGATGTTTCGGGGGAGCGAGCGCGGCGGGGAGGAGCGGGCCGATGACCACGACGACAGCGGCGGCGAGACGGGGACCAGACTAGGAGGAGCGGGCGTCGGGCCTTTTTCCTTCGTTTTCTTGACACGCGACGTGGGCTAGAGCCGAGGCAGGCAGCTGGCTGCAGTCGCAAAGCTCAGAGGGCGCACGCAGACAGAGAGGCTGGGAGGGGTCAAAGGGGCCTTGCCTGCCAGCCAGCCAGCCTGCCTGCCTGCCTGCCCGCCCTTTCTGCTGCTTTGCTGTGCCACGCTGCTCTGCTCCGCTGTCGCCTGGCCCTCGCCTCGCCTCGCCTTTCGCCCGTCTCTTGCTCCTTCTTGGCAGGCGGGTCTGGCTGATCAACAGGCTTGAAGCGGGGGCCAGGAAGCCGAATCGCTTGCCGCACGCCGCCTCGTCGGGCCGGCCGTGCTCTCGCCCGCTGGCACGCCCTCAAGACGAGGCTCACAGCGCAGAGCAATCGGTAGAGCATCGCCAGCCGGCTCCGTGTTCTGCTGCCTGCTTCCCTGCTAGCCTGTGCGCTCAAAGGCACCATGCTCCCCACGACCAGCGGCAGCGACGGTGACGGCGTGCTGCGGGTACAGAGACGGGCTCGGGGCCCACGGCAGTCCCATATGAAGTCGCTCACTCGGACCGCGCACACAGGGAGGCGGCAGCGGCGGCGAGCCTCCCGGTCCCATCTCGTCTCGCGCCGCTTTCTGAACTCTGGCTTGCGCTGGAAGATGGGGGCCAGCAGTGCAGCGTGGCAGGGACGCCACACAGGTACTTGGTCGGCTCAGCCACCCACGGCTGTCCGCGTGCCAGCGCAGGCCGTCGACCGTCGTAGCATCCTTCGCCTGGGCCTCGGTCTCCGGTTTCTTGGTATACCACCGTCTGCCTGTCTGCTCGCCGCACCGTGGTGCCGCTGCGCTGGCTGCTCGAGACCTGCTCGGTCGAGCTTGTCGTCGATCGCACACCTCGTCGCGTTCGTAGGCTGGTCTGCTCTACACGGCTGCCCTTCGACGCCCGACTGTCGCCGCAGCAGTTCCCTATCCGAATCGCTGCGTTTTCAGAGGCAGGCACTCCCGCCCCGGATCGGAATGCCGTGTACGAGAAGGACTTGTGAGACAGGGACACGGGGGATACCGGCATGGGGACGAGGTGCTATCATCGGAGCTGCGCGACCGCGTAGACAGGGGCAGGAGGGCGAGGGCCTGGCAGGGCGAGATCGAGAGGTTGGATGACAGCTCGCCAGCGCCCATCCGCGCCTCTGGCTTTGCTTGCCAATCGCCCCATCGTTCGCACCCACAGCACCCGTAGCACGCGCGTATGGTCCATACGCCAGCTTCGATGTGGGCCAAGCCGGGCCGTCGTCACCGCTGGCTGGCTCGCTCGTCGGTCTTTGCAGTGCGCGGTCCCTCTCTCGGTCTCGTGCAACGGGCCTTGCTTGGCCTTCCAACGCCACGCCCTGCCCCTCATGCCTGATCTCTTCCAGACTGACCAGACGTCTGCTAGGGCAAAAGGGCATGGCATACACACGCCTCTTCGTTGCCGGTCGCGGCTGATGCTGCCGGCCCGCTGCCACCAGCGAAGCCTGGGCCGCTCCAGGCCAATTTCCGTCCTGTCCAAAGCCCTCGTCCTTCCTAGCCTTGGCTGCTTACCACCTGCCCGCCTGCCTCTTGACGGGTCCGGCGTGCACACACACTCGGGATCTGACATCGTCTGTCTGTCAACTTCTGCCCCCCCTTTCTCTGCATTGCCCGCCGCCCGCCGCCCGCCGCCCGCCGCTCGCCGCTCGCACACGACCCGCTTCCCTCGTCGTTCCCTACCCTTCGCCGATCCTCGAAAACTCGACGTCCCGCCGTCGTCACCTCACCTCACACCACCTCACACCACCTCCCACCACCGTCTTCACCACCACAATCACCACCTGCCACGGCGCTGCGACCGCCACCACGCATTGGCGCCGCCGCTCTGACCGCCAACCCCCCTTATCCCCCGCACCGCATTTTGACGCCGTCGCCGCTGCCTCCTCCCCTTCCGTTGCACCTTTATTGTCCGACTGCTCCTCACCCTCTACCTCTCGCCCATGCAATCTGGGCGGCGATCAGTCGTCGGCCCGCCCTTGCCCCCCACCCGTTCTGCGTGGCTCTAGGGCAGAGCAATCGGATAGACGGTCGCGACCGCCACCGCCACCGCACCCTGCCCGTCGCTGCATCCGATCCTACGATTGCAGCACGCCGCACCGTGGCTGCCGACAAAAGCGTTCCTGACCACGGTGAGTACCTGCGGATTTGCTGGCCTTCCCCGGCGTGGTCCGTCAGTCGGTCCTCGTATCCTCCCTGGCCCCACACCATCGATATCCTACTGTAGACCCGACCCTGGCATCGGCATGCTCCTGCAGCGTACCGATCCAAGCCTCGCTCGTGTCCACCACCACCTCTTCCGCCCGCACGTCGTCCCTGCCGCCGTGCATATTCGTCTCGCCGCGATTTCTCTCTGCACCTCTGCCACCGAATGGCCTCGGCCCCCTCATCATCCGCGACCCTAGACTAGCTTTTTCGTCCGCGCACGACGGCTGACAGTCCATGCCCTTCTTCTTCCACCCTTCCGCCGACCCTGCCGTGCAACGCCACTCGACTCGAAACATCGCACGCGACCCATCCACGGAAAATCTTGATCGCCTGCCGCCCGCTTTCTACCGTCCCGCGGTGCCCACAGCGACCTTGCGTAGCTCCACTCCTGACTTGTCCGGGGCGACCGTCAATCACAGGTGAAGCACTCTCCTCGGTGGCCTTGGTCGCGGCCGACAAGCATGGCGTCCTCGTCGTTGGCGGCCACGGGCCTTACCTCCGCGCCACCAGCGCTGCAACAGAACTCGCAACGCCAGACTCACCTGCCAACGTCCAACGGCGGCTCGCCGGCGCCTTCGAGCCGGTCCGCCGCTCCCATCACCACCGTGGCAATACGCAACGGCAAGACCATCGGCATTAATGGTGAGTCGATCCGTGCTCCTCTACCTCGCTTGCCTGCGCGGCCGCGAGCAAGCGGCGGCGACGAGAGCCATGGCGTGGCACCGCATTCGGCGCCATGCACCTCCGGATCGATGTATTGACCACCCGACGCGACCCCTCCCGCCACCGCCCGCTGCAGATCACATCTACATCTCGGCTGCCTGGGCTCCGGGAGCGGGAGAGCCGTACGTGATCGCGAGGGTGATGGAGTTTGTCACTGCGGCATCGTCGCGCAGCGGCGCCGCGGCGCTGGCCAGCTCGTCGGGCACGCTCCAGGTGCGCGCCAACCTCTTCCTACGCATGCGCGACATCACCGTGCGCAGCAGCAGCGACCCGCGCCTGCTGGTGGCGACGATGCACTCGGACGTCTTCAACCTGGAAAACGTGCGCGGCATCTGCAACGTCCGCCACCGCGACCTCATCGGCAGCGGCTCGGCGCCCGACGTCAGCCAGTGGAAGAAGAAGGAGGACCACTTCTACTACCACCAGCTCTACGACCGCTACATCCACCGCTTCTACGATGTGATCCCGACCGAAAAGGTCAAGAACGTGCCGCCAGAGGTGCTCTCGACGCTGCGACAGAGGTACTCGTTTGTCATTGCCGAGCCCGGCATGATGGCCGACCTCTGCGACGCGCTGCGAGGGTGCGCCGTCTGCCACCGGTGGGCCGCAAGGTGAGTTCAGGGCCGGGGGCGCGACTGGGGCCCGGATCGCCAGAGCCGACTACTGATCCGCATCCTGACCTGCTTTGCCTTCCCTTCTCCCAACACCGCGGCACAGCGTCGAATCGGTACGGTGCGACACGTGCAAGAAGTTCTTCCACATGAAGTGCCTCAATCCGCCGCTGGCCTCGAAGCCGGCCAAGGGATACAGCTGGACGTGCGCGCCGTGCTCGAAGCGGCACGAGCAGGACGTGGGCCACGCGCTGGCCATGG